TAACTCAAAATTTTTTCATGGGATAAAATGTGAAAAATAGTGAAAATTCTCTTTTTTTTTTTTATCTTTTTTTTTTTATCTTTTTTTTTTTTTCTTGTTCTAAAAAAATTTTCCCCAGTAACAGGAAATTAACCAATTTCTTTTGAAAATCAGAAAGCATAAATCATAATCAAATCATAATTGGAAATTGTCAACTGAATGCCACTTTCCAAGGTTTTTTCTTTCAAGTCTGTGAGACACAAATCATTTTGAGATTGTGTGACAAAACACAAACACTGTCACCAAAAAGGTGCTTAACAGCACAAAGCAACAAATGCAGACAATTTAAAAAAAAAACAAAAAAAACTTTTTTCTTTTTCAAATTGAACATTTTTATGACAAATATTATTTTTAGATTTTACAAGAAAAAGACATCAATGAAGCAGATGATGATCCTGCTTGAATCAAGTCAATGCAGCTTCATACACAGTTAAGAGCATCTGAATGCAGATGGTTCATTCAGACAAGACCAAACACCACCTTTGTAAAAGTCATTGCAAGTTTTACACTTTTTGGAAACAGGGACAACAACAGACCTATCCTCTTCACCTTTAAGGGCATGCTTAACAACTTTTATTTTAAACCAGGGTCCCCGATGCTGATATTTTTTTTTATGAAGTGATGCAAACTCTCCCCACTTTCCTCGCTGAAAAGTCCTACACTTCGATGAATTCTGGTCGAATGAGGAAGATGAAAAATAAAATCATGGAGTTTTACATTGATCGGTTCTGATGGGAAATAGATGGGAAATTTTTCTCCCATTTTTCTTACAACAAAATTCCAGATCTTCCAGTTGATGATCACTCAAAAAATGTTCGCAGTACCATGATCTGATGGGCTTTTAAATATACTTCAAAAAGTTCTGTCAAATTGTGGTCAGCATCAGAATACTGAGGGGACAAGACACTGCAAAGTTTTGTGAAGTTGTAAATGCCAGCCTTATCCTTGGACAAAATAACTTTGCAGTGATTGCCAACAAAAAGGCCACCATGGTATGCCTGTTTTTTTATGTCTCTTTCCTGTAAGATTTGATCAAATAACCATGGGGCAACTCCAAGGAAGCAATAATATCCTCTATGGTTAACATAGTAGCAAAATATCACACACACCATCTTATTTCAGCAACAACCTTATGCAAAATGTGATAAAGTACATTTGTAATTTTCAAATATATATATGGGTTAAAAGAAATTTGACACAGTTCCCCCACTCCCCAAATAGCAGCTCAGCAATAAGGAAGGGTTCATCAAAAGCCAAATTGTCTTTGATATGGCTCTCAAAGCAATAAAAAAAAAAACAATAAACTGTCATCATTTAGCTGGAGATAAACCCCATCCACTTAACAAGTATGCGATGACCATTTTTAGCGCTTGCCATGGCTTAGGTTTTTCATCACTGTGAGAAAGTCCAGATTGTTTGGTATCAGTTAAAGATGTGAAAAAAGGGGGGGGGGGGCTCCTTGAGACCCCGCTTGATGTGGGGGATTATTGTTAACAGCAGCAATGAGAAAGTTTGGACTTCTTTGTTTTGATTTTTCGTGTGTGTGTGTGTGTTGAACTGTTAGTGAAAAAAAAATTAAATAAGTGAACCATTGTTTTTTTGTTTTTTTTATCTTATAATAGGCCTGTTTTTTTGTTTTTTTTTATATACCTATCATCCTTTTATTAATTCTAAAATAGCTTGATAAACAAAACAAGTTACCTTTTTTTTTTTTTTTTTTTTAATATTGTAAAAATTTTTAAAGTTTTCCTGATTTAGAAGAAAAAAAAAAGTAACATTTTTTTTTCTTCTTTTAACATATCCCCAGTTTTATTTTAAAAAATGAATTAATAAATAACTCAACTGCACTTTTATTTTGAGGGTCACCAGCTCGGGTGACAAAAACACTAGCAGATGACACTTTTTTTTTCGCTATATACTTTTTGTATTTCCCATCACCGGGTCATATAGTAGTTCATTTTATTTAATGATATTTTCACCAATGTAAAGATGAAGGATTGAAGTTTGAAAAAAAATTTGTTTTGAAGTGATTTTAAATAAGAAAAATTGATTTTTCATAGAAAATTGGCCATAATTTTTTAATGCTAACCCCCAAGTAACATTTTTCGCAGCCATATCGAAGATTTATTACCAGTGGATCATTCCATGTGCAAAAAATAACCGTCTGGATCCTATAATGTCGCCCGAAAAGGTCCAGATGTTTACTGATTGATCAAAAACTTGTTGCACATAATTGTTTTTCACAGTCAGTTTCCATTATTTCATCTTGGTGTTGTCATTTTCGGACAGCCAAGTCATCAAGGATTCAGGAAAATAGTTTGGCACAGGTTTGCTTTGAGAACTTTACATTCTATGAGGTGTTTAAAATGTTACTGACGAATGACATTTTTTGCTGAATATTTCATTTATGCACCATATTGGATTTTCCTATATGACAAAAAAAAGGGTTTTAAACAGGTGTAGCAGAGACCTGCAAAATAAAAGATAGAAATGACACAAGACTCTACAGGGATGACGGTCTCATAATCTTAAGAAACTGTAACAAACAAAACACAGATAAAACTAGAAAAGCAATAATAAAGATTTTCAAAAATAACGGATTCGACATAGATATAAAAACTAACCAAAAAACATATCACCTTTAATATTTTTACCCCACCTGGCATACATACAATATTCCAACCTCCTCCATTAACTTATGACAGTTCAAATATATTTAATTTTTTGCAACAAATACATTACAGGGAATTGGTGAAACTGGTACAGAATTCCATCTTTGGTTTAATAACTAAGAAAGCTATCTGACAACAGCAGTTTCATTCTAACTGTATATTTCCACCAATTGTGCTACAGGGTTGATAATGTTAGCTGCATTCTTTTAGTTGCCAACAAAATCACCATAAATCAGAATTAAAATTCCTTTTTAAAATAAATCCACACATTCTAGGTTTAAATAAAAATTTAGCCATAGTCAATTAATACAGTTTTCACAAAAAAGCCATTTGTGAATGCTCCACAACCCTGATCATGGTTGAAAAAAAAAAACCCGGAAAGTAGGCGTTAAATAAAATGCTCGCAGACACTGAAACTATCATGTGCATTCAGACATTAATGAATATAAAAATACTACACCCATCAGAGAAGGTGGATTGGGAAATCATAAAAAATGATCTTACTTCATCCAGCTAGTTGAAAATGATATAGACTAATCCCATACCCTCTATCCTAGGGCTGACTGTCCACTATTTTTCACGGTCTTTGAAAATAAATAAATCTGGCCCTTCTTTCTTTCTTTTCTTCAATGTGGGAGATTTTCATTGCCATACTGACAAGGAATAATCTTTTTTTTTTTTCGTGGCTTCTTCCGTTAAGAGCTATGATTGTACAACACATTACAGTTTGAATAGCCACTGCAGCCATTTTTGCAGAAATACTACAGTTGACTGAAACTTGCACACAAGACTTTCTATGTGCAATCTCAAATAATTCTAATTTTAGGTGGAGGTAGAGTTATTGGAATAGTTTGTGTACATATTTCATTGCACAGAAGATGGATTTTACCTGAACAATTTATGCTTGAATTTAAATCGTATTCTGTAAAGCTAGTATCATGACTCATCTTTCCCACTATCATGCTCTTCTGTTCTAAATCACTTGATGCAGCAAACTTAACTAAGTAATCCACCCATTATCACTTTCTTCAGTCTACAAACTTGATTTTCATCAAAGTAGAAATGTATTCAATGTATTGGAATTTTAGTTTTGAACTTTAACAATCTCTACTCTTTAATCCAACTCCTGATTGATTGTGGTTTCAAAGGTTTAGTGTTATATTTTGAAGGCTTTTCTTTAGCTTTATCATAAGCATTCTTATTTTAATGTGTAACAATTTTCTCTGATCTCATGATGTTCACTACCAAATGATCTCCATCTCCAGAAGTCAATAAGAGCATTAGCACGTGCAAGCATAGTACTGGTCATCTTGCTTTTTGATTTACTTGCCACAGAAACAAAAAACATAGCACTTGCTGCATCATAGTAAATGAGTAAATCATCACCCAACACAAATACAAAGTTTTCAAATGTTACTTATAACATTCAATAGTTCCTCTCATATTTATGATTCTCTGCCTTTTCTGAGACAAAAAATAAATAAATTCATTCAGTTTAAATAAATTAATTTCACTCATCACAGTAACACTTACATAATCATTGAAACAATTCTCTTAATGTGTTCTTTTTATTGAACTTCAATATCATCACTGAAGTAGCTTCTACTTTTTATGTGGCAGGGACAAACAACTCAAAATTTGCTGTGTTGTACCTGCTGTTACATAGATGGAAAAAAATTATATTTTTGCTAATGAGTTCCGTGCTTATCTCTCTTCAATAGTGGGCATGAGGGTTATTTGTAAGGGTGAATTGGTTTTTTGGTTCTTGGGCACTTCATTAAGTATGTACAGAAATAAACAATAATTCAAAACAATAAATGCTACATTTTATACCAAATTTGGATATTCATTCATGAAGATGTAGGAATGTTAAATTTTTAATTCATAATGACTGTTTCTAATCTTTAAATTTTGAAAAACATGGCGCACATTTGGCATAATTCAGTTGTCAAACTGCCAAAAATGAAAATAATGGAAAAAATCAGTTTTAAAACATTCATAGTCACATTTGGCTTTAAAGACCAAAAAAAAAAAAAAATCCAGATCTAAGAAATCTACATATAACCCCCTTCTAACTCCTCCTATATAATGATTGATATATATTTGATTACAGGAGTAGTGTTAAGTGCATTGACAAAGGAGGAGGATATGTAAAAAAAATTAATTATATTTGTTGTGGAATAAGCCTGAAAATAAATATATATATATATATATATATATATATATATATATATATATATATATCTATATCTGAAATACTATTTTACTTATATTGTTTTTATTTTGTAGGAAATCACCAGAATAGAGAATTTTAATTTGTGTATTGAAATACTTGAACAACATGATTGGAACCTTCAGGTATGTATGTATTTGAAATCAAGTCAAAATTCTTTCAAATATTTTATAATAGAGGGGGGGGGGCAAAAACTCTCATACAAGGGTTTTATGATTCCTTATTACAATTGTAAAGTGTATACATTGTCTGTGTGCTAAATAAGATATTTCTAACTCTGAATCCTCATTCCTAAACAAATAAACACTCACTGGCCACTTTATTAGCTATACTTTCTAGTACTCGTTTGGAACCCTTTTACTTTTAAAATCACTTTAATTTTTCATGCCATCAATACAACAATGTTCTGGAAACACTATTTTGAAATTTGGGTCCTTTAATTCTTCTTGATTTGTTAGCTGCACATCCAGAATTTTGAAACTCCTTATCCACCACATTGCAAAGGTGCTCTATTATGGGATTGAAATCTGGTGACTGTGCAGGCTACTGTAACACAAAAAACTTCTTGCTGTGTTCAATGTATCAATCTGCCACTATTATTTATTTGTGGCATGGTATGTTGTTCTGCTGGAAGTGGCCATCAGAGGATGGGTGCACCATTGAGGCATGTGGTCAGTCACAATATCTTGATAGGCTGTAGCATTTAAATGACTCTTTTTTTTTTGGTAGCTAGGGTCCCAATGTATGCCAAGAAAATATTCCCCCATACCATAATGCCATCAGTAGCAGTCTGGACCATTGATACAAGACAGGATGGCTCTATAGTTTCACGTTGTTTACACCAAATTCTGGCCCTACCATCTGAATATCATAGCAGAAGTTGACTCATCAGACCTGGGAATGTTCTTCAAATCTTCTAATTGTTCAATTTTTGTGATCCTCAGTTTCTTGTTTGGCTTGACTATTGTTTACCGGATGGAAGACATTGGCTTGAATAAAACAGTTGACTAAATGGAATTAACACATGTCCAATCTTAATAATTATGGTAGTGAAGAATGAATGCAAAGAAAATCTAAGAATAATGACTAATAATTTAAATAAGATAACCTTACCTAGTAAGGATCTGCCTTCAATAAGTAATTATATTCAACCTAATTACAATTAAGGGTAGGTAAAGTACTAACAATAGTTCAGTTATGATGATCGTATTGTTCAGTGAGGCCTGAAGGGTACTTGTTAAAATACTGTGATGAGATTGCATCATTATTTCAGTTTATTGGGCTTGTTCTGTTAACTGTTTTATTTGAGTCATCTTTATCCAGGGCCATATGGTGAATGATGGTCAACCTCTTGTTCTTATCTGACAGGAGTGTGGCACATGGCGTGGTCTTCTGTTGCTGTAGCTCATCTGCTTAAAGTTTCAATCTGCTGTGCAATCAGAAATGCTCTTCTGTATACTTTAATTATAAAGTGTAGCTATTTGAGCTACTGAGGCCTTTCTATTGGTTTCAAACAGTTTAGCCCTTCTCTTCTGGTCTGTTCCATCAAGATATTTCTGCCCACAAAATTGCCGCTCACTGGAATTTTCTTTTTCTGGCTATTTTTCTATAAACCTTTAGAGCTGGTTGTACATGAAAAATCCAATAGTTTTTAAATACTCAAACCAATGACTATTCTGTATTTAGGGTCATTATACTCCCCTTTCTTATTAACCTTGTTAATAGCCATTGATATATCTAGGGTGATTGTCCTTGTGGTGAATTTATTGTCTTGTGCCTCATTGATTCTATGAGTAATGACAATTAAGACCTCAGCAATGGGTCTAGCAGAGTGAAATCCATATTGCTCCTCCCTACGGAGGTTGTACCTGTTGAGATGTTCAACACCTTTCTTGTTGATTATAAACTCTGTTTGCTGGTATCCATTAAATTTCTGCTACATCATTTGCATAAAAGAGCACTTGGTCAGAAGTACTTAAGTAACCAGTGAGTTTATAAATGAACTGATGATCTTACCTATAATTTTGTTAATTATCTACTCTTTATTTGTTAAAATTAAAAAAAAAAAAAGTTTTGAAACTAATATAATTTAAAAAAAAATATACTTTTGGAAGTATTGGAAGTAATATTAAATAATTATATAGGTATGATGTCTCTCAATCTGCACATTTTATCAATTTTTGACATTGTTTTTTCAAATGAAATTTTGTAGGATTTTATATATATATATATATATATATACACACACACACACACACGTTCAATAGAATATAAAATTATATAATGGGCTTTGTCATTAAAAAGGACGTCATCAGACTATACTGAAGGGTGAAACGTGTTAAATTATCTTTTTTCATTATGTCTTTCTGTTACCAACATTGTTTTGACATAAAAGTTTATATATTCTCCCAGATTTTCATAGCAAATCTTTATTGCAATGATTACTCTTCATTATGATATCATAATAGTGAATAGTGTGACTTTTTTTCAGTAGATTTCTTTTTTTTAATTTGTATCAAACTCAAGCAAACAAAATTTAACAAGTGAATCCTGCTTTGTTTCAAATTTTCAATTAGGAGATAACTAGGAAAACGATGTATCCATTATGCTAATGTTATGATGTTTGGACAGCCAGATTAGATTAACTTGCAAATAAACCCATATACTAACAGTGATCCTAGACAGAAAATAAATGAAGAAAACTTTGATCCAGCTGATTTGATTTTAGGCAAAAGTGTCTGTCCATATCTAATATCCAACCCTTTTTTTTTTTTTTTTTTTTAGTAGTTGCTATACTAGTAGCATCTAGAACAGTATTTGCAGATTGTAACTTAACCATTCACTGTAACTGATATTTCTTCTGTCATCCTGGACTTGTTGAGAAAGTGGGTCCAGACCTGTGCAAGTTCCCTCACACCACACACACACACACACACACACACACACACACTATTTTTTTTTTTTTTTTTATAAATGCCTTGTCCATTCAGGATATAAGTGGTCATGTCTCCACAGATTCCTTTTTTTTTTATCTGTGTACTGAATGACATCTTGGGAAAGATAGTGGAATGGTTTTCTGTTGCCTTCTCCAGTTTGAAATTCATAGTTGTCATTTTCCTAGACTTGCTGCTACCAATATCTGCAGAGTTCAGTCGATCCTGCTAATGAACCAATAGCTGAGAGGCAGATAAATGGGTTCATGTCTTTGCCGAGGACATTAGCATGAAGTGAATTTAACAGACTAGGCCCAAAAGCTGAATTACACTAACACATTCATGCCACACACACACACACACATATATATATATATATATATATATATATATATATGCACGGTGGAGTAGTGGATAGCAGCTCGGATGGAGGAATCGGAGAGCCGAGTTTGAATTCCAGTCAAATCCATTACATTCACTTATGTGCTAATACCCTTGGGAAAGGTATTAATCCTCTTCTTCTTCCTCCAGCTATGGGTAAATAGCAGGACAGACTGGGTTCTATAGCATGGGATGGCAACTGGTCTAGGAGGAGGACAACTCTGAATTGGAAACCTTGTAGCATGTAGTACACCAGGTCTCTGTATTCGGCACTTCAAAAATTGTGGTTGGTTCTGTCCATTCCTTCACCACTATAATCAAATTGTGTGCTGGTGTCTGGGCTGTCTGTTCCTAGGAACTGAGCTGCTTGATCCTCATGCATTGAATATGATGGAAGAGTTATATATATATATATATATATATATATATATATATATATATATATATATATATATATATAGAGAGAGAGATATGTGCAGTTTAACCGAAAAACTGACATTTTTCAGTTTCGTTTTTATATCACTTTTGAGTGACCATAACCAAAGAAACACTATTGAAAGAGACTTTCAGATGTTAATAAAATTAAATTTTATCAACATTTATACCATTGTAAGAGAAAAAGATTGAATAAAAATATGTTAAAAACATTTAATTGACTAGTTTTAGGAAATAAATGTGAAATCTATTTGATTACAAAAGAAATGAAGAAGAAAAAAAAAAAGAAACTTTTTGCAGTAAAATTAAGTTAACAACAAAATAACAAGTAAAAATAAAAAAAAAATAGTTGCCAATTTTGTCTTAATGTTAAAATTTATGAAGTCAGATTTTTTTTGGTGAGGGTTTTCTAGTAAGCCATTATTACACCAATCACGAAATAAAGTTGTTGTAAACAAGAAAAATGAAGATTTTTTTTTTTTTTTTTTTTATCTAGGGTATGCATCTAAATTAGATATTAAGAATAATTAAAATAGTTCTTAATTTCACTTTTAAGATGTGTATATTTCCAGATATGTGAGTCTCTGTTTTCTACAAATAAAATTATGCTTCTAGTGAATACACGTAAAATTAGATATTAAAAAAATAAAGTAAGTTTTAAACTCAGTTTTAAAATGTGTATATTTTCAAAACTGCAAGTCATTTTTTTAAACCCAAAGTAAAAATTATTCTTTTTTCACTAGTGTTCGGTGGGTGGGTGTTGCTGTTCTGTCTATAAAATACTTCTAAATAAGGAAAATTAATTGATTTTATTTTTTACAAATATCTTTATGGTTTATCTGGCGAATAATACACTTAAGATTATATTAAAATGATTAAAATAGTTTTTAATTTCAGTTTTAAAAAGTGTATCTGAAAAAGAACAGGTGCTACTCACAGATTTGGAAATTAACATTCTAAAAATGAAATTAAAAGCTTTTAATTATTTTTAATATCTATTTTTAGGTGTATTTGCTAGATAAAAACAAATTTATTTAGGGGAAAATAACAGTTGACTGGCGTACCAGAAAATTGCTGTTTTTTTTTTTTTTTGCTTTATATTTTTTGAAGGAATTGCTTCCTTGTGTCAGAGAAGAAATGAACATCTTTCTTGTTGTAGTTTAAGTTGTCTTCTAATTCAGTGTACAATTTCAAGAATATTGATAAAGATTGGTCACTTTGATTTTATGAAACAAAGTAATGTGTAAAATTTAGTCTCAAAAAAAAAATGATCTCACATTTTCGGCTGGTTGAAGCAATACTGTTTTAACTCACTTAAAAAAAAAAAAAAAGAAAATTCAATGAATAAAAGCACATACAAATTACATAGACTATATAATTTTCTTTCCAGCCATATGAATATTTTTAAGATTTGACAAGAAATACATGATATATTGCGAGTTGAATGGATTGAGTATTATCAATCTCAAACAAAATCAGATATCAACTAGAAATGCTATCATTACACAAGAAAATGAATGGCTTCCTTAGAAAGCAAAAATACTAAATTAAAAACCAAAAATTCGAATTGATAAAGGAAAACAAAACTGGAAACTGATACTGAAACATAAATTGCCAAACTGACCAACTTTATATATATATATAATATATATATATTCTCCTTTTTCTTTCCCCATATCATTTCTGTTGAGTTGACTGATTAAATAGGTCAATGTCTGATCTTTACCCCCTTCTTCCTCATATTAAGTATTATAATAAAAAGAAATATAAAAATAAATTTTAAAACTCTCCCTTCTCTCTCTAAACTTGACCATGTTTCTCACACTATCTCTCGCTACCTTCTATGTCAACTTATATAAGCTTAATACTGCCTGTCAAAAGTGTAAATTTTAATTTCATTTTTTGTTTCACCTTTTGAAAGTGATGTCTGAAGATCCAGGGAAAAATAAGTCTGTTGAAATAAATTATTACAATGGAGCCTTAAAGTGGTCTGTTTTTTTTGTTTGTTTTTTTTAAATTAAATTATTCACTCTGAATTAACATTGAGCTCTCAGGATTTCATCCTCCTTGGGATTATCCATACAGATTACCAAGAATTTTGTTACTTTTATATATATATATATATATATATATAGTGGCATGAATGTATTGCTAGTGTTCTGGATTGAGGGAGAGGTAGCACTTTTTAAAAAAAAAATTTTTTTTTTCTTTTTTTTTCCCAAAGCTACGAATTTAACAGTTTAACCAAGAAAACATAAATATTGCTTAAAAGTAATATAATTTGCAATTATTTCTTTTATATATAATGTGATTATCATATTTATTTGAAGTTATGCATGCATTGTTTATTATTAAATGAAAATAAGCTTAAATCCTGATTATATTTTCATTTTTTTTTTTTCTATCTTTTTCTAAAATTAACAAATTTTTGATAACATTTTATATAGTTAAAAATCCAGCACCAAGGTGGAAAACTGTCACCTACTAACCAACTGCTTTGGGTAGATGGAGCTTGACAGCTCAAGAAGGCATTCCATCTAGGGGAATGAAAATCTTGATTTTAAACCTCCACTGCTTTGCAGTAATATTGAACCACAGAAAAGGCTATGAAAGTAAATCCAGACAGAAAATCTGGTGGAGGTGGTTGGCTGTCAACATTGACAACTTTCTGGTAACTTCTGCAGCCAAGCTGGCCCCAAATGTAATGCTCTGTATTCCTTTGGATTGTGTTGGTATGTCTGGGGAGGGTGGGGGTGTCATGTTGTCTGGGTAGCACATGGCTTTCATATACCATCTCCCAGTCTTTAATTCCTGAACATGGCCAGTGCAGAATCTGTTGTTGGCATACAATAAGAAAAAAAAAAAAACTTTGTTAGTCATTTTTTCTTTTTTTAATGAAACACTTGTTACATATGCACTCCCTCATGCACAAACTTAGAAAACAAAATCTATTCATACATACACCCGTCTTAGAAAGGAATCATCAATATTTCTTTGCATGGATAGCATTAAATGCTAGTTACTAAAATAAGTGACATCTTCTATCTATATGTATTTATTATTGTTTAATTCTTTTGTGTGTCTAAATAAAACCTTTCTCTTTGATCATTTTGTAGGAGGCTGTCCAGAATGCCATCCCACCTGAAGTCTGTTCACCATCTGCTGATATCCTTCCGGGTGGCCCTACCACACAAAATAGTAATGAAGCCAGTCCATCTCTACCATCATCATCACCGTTTGAAAATGCTAGCTTAGCATTAGACTATCCTGTTGAAACAAAGCATTTGCCTCGTATGTTAACGTTCAATGTTGAATATGAGAGCAGGACAATCAGTTTATCTTTACCCGATACAGACACTGTTGGTAAGTGCAATAATGTGGAAAATAAATAAGAAAAAGAAAAAAGGTATTAGAATTTTAAGAAATTTCTGAAGTTATTATATTTGTAGCCATGATTTTAAGCTAAAAATAATTGTTTTGATTAAATACAATTCTGTTTTTGAGTTCCCATATTTAGCTTAACACATTAAAAAGTGTTTCAACAATTTTTTCTTTTTGCTCATAAACTCTGTTTAATGAAACCTTGAAGAAGAAAAGTTGTAATATTTCAATGTTGTCTTGAAGTTATGGTTAAGCATGATCAGTGGTGGTATATAAAAGGGCACATAATTTCTGGGATGAAGAGTTATTATTTACATTTAAGCTAAAGTCCTCATCTTTGTTACTTTCACAGAATTTTGGGTGTTGCGCCCTCCAGCCTTCATTGCGTGTCTGTTGCGCCCTCCTGCCTTCTGTTATTACTGCTCAGTTATTGCTAGTTTTCACCAGGTTAGTTTCTACTACACATCCCTGGGATTGACCTTTTAATTACTATGTCACTAAATTCACAAACCAAAGTAATCTATTAGGCTGATGTCCCCCCAAGACAAATATTGTAAAAATAACAAAGATGAGGACATTAGTGTAAGTGTAAATAGTATAAATAAAGCAACACGTAACTAACCTGATAGTCACAATTCCAAAATATTTGCTTATAAGAAAAGAGTAGAGTACTTTAAGAGTACATGATAAAATTTTGAAAAACCATTTGTCGTAAATATTTTTTCTTAGGGAACCTACTCCCCAACCCAAAATTTCCTTTTTAAAATAAAAAAAAAAAAAAAACTAATTTTTTTTTTTTTTTTTTACTTTGCAACCTGGTTAGCCATGATATAAAATAAATAGAATCTCATTTTCTAATCAGTCATTAGTTTAAAATGATTGAAGTTATTGTTATATGAAATGTTTTGAGTCACTTTATATCATCTTTTATTATTATTGGTTGGTGCAAAAATAATGATCGTAAGAATGTCGTTTTTTGACGTTAAAAATACGTCAAAAAACGACATCATTACGTCATTATTTTTGCACCAACCTAATATATGCTATGTGGAAACACAGTGATCACTAATGTTGATGATAATCCTTGGAGATAATTTTGTCATTCTTTGTAACCGTGTTATAAGCAATATGATTAAATAGACATATGGCATGAAATCAAGTGATTTTTTTTTTTTTTTTTTTTTTTTTAAGTTGCCTTACAATCTGTTCTACTAAATTTGTTACTGGTCAAGTTTCCTGGATATGTGCCCTTCTTCCTGTATTACTTTGCAAAGAGCATGTAGTTGCTTGTTTTTCTATCCTCTCAAATGGATAACAAGCTTAGATTCAATCTTTTAAATAAAATAAATGACAAATTCTGTCTGTCTGAAACCCCTCTAACTTGGGCCAAACTTACTCTACATAGACATGTACCATTTGGAATCTGGATGATCCCAAGAATGAAAATCTGCCCTTCATCTGGTGCTTGATCATCCAGCATTGGGATTTGTGTCCAAATGAGGAGGGAACAGTTAAAAATTCAAATTTTAAAATAAATTACAAAAATTACTTATTTTAAAAGTTTTTAAATTTATATTGAATTTAAAGTAACACAAAAACTTTGTATTTAAAAAAAAAAATGTTGTTTTAAATTCAGTTTAAAATATCTTCAAAATGCCAAGGAATCAGTTAAAGTGAGAAGTTTCATGATGTGAGGTCTTGAAGTTCCACAGCTTGTGATTTGAAGAACTCCATTTTCAGCCTGAATTGGAATTCCACCCTAAATCAGTTTTGATCCCGAATCATAGTTAAAGTGAGGTTTTGAAGTTTTATAGAGTGAATTGAGGAATTCAGTTATTTCTACAAAATTATCATTGGTGTTTTCTAAGCTGGACCAGAGGTCTCTTTAGTTTGAGACTGTGAAGGGCCAACTAGCTTTAAAGTCCACATGGAGTGTGGCTTTTAAACTAGTTTAAAATAAATTTGACTATAGATTAAAACCTGCTGGCCATTATCTTATTAAAAAAAATTAGAATTATACAAAGGTTCTAAAATATAATTGAGTATAGTTTTAGCAATTAACACTTTTCTTGTTTGAGCTATAAATTAAAATTCCTGTACATTCATTCTTCCACATAATTCTTTGATTCTCAGTGCTTTACCAATCAGTTCTTGATAGAATAATATATGTTGCAGTATGACTTCTCTCTCTCTCTCTTTCTTCTAGAAATAGACCTTGTATTACTAAAGATTAATCATCACAATTCCAAAATTTTTCTTATATCTTTTTAATTACTTACTGGACCATTTAAGTACTATAGTATTTAGTTGTGAAATAAATTATTCTTTGATATTTGTCTCTTATTCTCTGTGGTACCATTAAACCATTCCTGCAGACCTCTATAATATTTTGCTCATTTGCATGCACTGCTGTCACATCTTTTTTACATAGGTTCAGAGTGCAACATAGCTGGAGACTTAAGTTATTCTTTTTGAACGAGAAAGATATAATAATAATAATAATAGCAGGAAGGAATTGGGGATTTGATGAAGATAGGAGGTAAGAAAGCTAGAGAAAAATGAAAAGAAGGCTAGGTGAAAGGAAAAAATAAATTTAGACACATATTTCAAGAGAGAAGGGATGGTTATGAAAGACAACTAGGCTTGTTGGCTGGATATCAAGAGACAACAAACAAAAGATTGAAAGGAATGTAGGGATGGAATAAGTGTAAAATGTAGTACATTTATAACACAAAACCCATGTGCCAATCAATGCTTATTGGTTGAAACTGCAGTGTGCCAGGCTGTGTTAGCACAAAGAAAAGATGAAGAAAACCGGATAGCCAAAGTTGTTTGAAAAGTTGAATGGCTGTTTTCAATTACAAGTTTGTTTATAGAAGTTGGGTACAGTTACCCGAGGTGGACTCTCTCATTGACTCTCAGAGGAGGTGTGTGGCCACTTTGTCAATTGCTAAATCTAGTTGCTTATGGGAGATTTAATTATGATGCTGATAGTTCCTTGCAACATACTTTCCTCCTGGGACAACAGTTTGTGTGATGAATTGTCCCCAGTAGAATTTTTCATTCTCAAGGTAAATTTTGTCAAGCCTTTCACTTTGTTGCTTCTAATTGAGGATTTCTTATCAAATGGCTCCTGCCTATCTAGGAACAATTAACTACCCAACAATAGGTTTTCTGCTAACACTAAGCAAGAAAAGATTACTAAAACATTTTTGCTATCAATTTTCTCTCTTTGTGGGGAGGGGGTCAAGAAACTTTCTTTTTTTTTTTTTTTTTTTTCTTACAAAGATTTAGTAGGTAAAGATCTTATCACTAACCAACTTTAATTACAAAACCTACAGATATTAATACCAGCTCGAAAGCATGAAAATTCATACTTACATTGTATGGGTTTTTTGGTTTTAGTTAGAAGTTTATTTTCTTTTAAAAGTTAAGATACATTAAAACAAAATGCCCATAAAAACAAATCTCTGAGTAATTAAAACCAACACTCTTTTGGTCAGCTTTCTTGTCTGTCATAAACTAATTTGTTTAAATACAAGTTAGCTTTAGTGTTCAAATCCTGAACAAGATAAAGTGCTAATTTAGGGCCTTCATTTTTCTAATTGTTTCTTTGTAAGACACATTTAGGCCATTTTTTCCATTCTTAGCTTATTTATTTTAGGGATAAAGGAGATATAAGTGAGGGCTGAGAAACGAACAGAGGTATGAGATTATGGATAGTTTTAGTTGTTAACATTCATGGAATTTCTACAGGTTCAACTAGTTTATACTTTGTGTATTGTAGATAGAATGTTAAGTGAAATTACCTTGGTTGAAGTTATTTTTTTAGTGTGAATATATTCATGTAACTAAATGTGGATTTATATAATTATTATTGAACTGATGTAAATGACCATAAAACTTTATGCAGTTTTAATGCAAATCTAAAATTAAATAGAAATGGTACATTTCTCTGAGTTTCCAAATTATATATATATATATATATATATATATATATATATATATATAAATAAAAGGAGCAGTTTTCAGTGAATTTATTATAAACAAAGCAAGCCATTATTAATTTTTATGCCATAGGAGTCATAAAAAATCTAAAATATCTTCAACTTCTTGATTACCAGTTTAAATCATGAAGCTTCTCTTGTGTTAATGTTCTTTTAGTTTTGAGTCTAGAATGAAAGTGAAATCTTTCTGCCATTACTGCTTACATGTTTCTTTCTCTTTCCTCCCATTTCTAATGTTCTAATTGATACTCTTTACTCTTATGCTATTCTGTTCATATAGGTGTCTTTCTTTTCTTTTCTTTTTTTTTTTCACTTTCAAATTGACTGTTCTAGGTAAAAGAAGTCTCTCTTTCTCTCTCTTGTTTATTTTTACTTTTTAGTAGATCTAAGAGTGCTTTTTGGAGGTATTCATTTGTCTGGGTTTTTATTATAGAAAAAGAAAAAAACTTGTATTCTGTGTTGAGGCTCCGAAGAAGAAAAAAAACTGATTACTGCTTGAATTAATAGACTTCTGGCTTTAGTTTTAAACAATTTGGCAATCATTCTTTTTTACCCTGTCCTTTCTTTTCCAAACAAAATTGCATTAGCCTTTAACAATAGATATAGGCTCTTTCTCCCCAAGGTCTTCTAGTAAATTGCTTCTTTAAATAATTGTTGGCTTGCTTGCTTCTATTTTTGCTTCATTTGTAATGGCTTTTAATAAGTTACGTTGAAAGAAAAGTTTACTTATATGAATAAAAATATTTTTCAGTAAGCATTTTAAGATAAGCTTTTTAAGTTTATGGTTTCCAAAATTGCTCTTTTATTAAATAATTATTGGATTTTCAAAAAGGAAAAGAACCTATTTTGCCTCAAAATAGCTACAAAGTTTGTTTACTCAATTTATCTCAAGTAAAACAATAATACCACTAAGACACAAGGGGTTACTGGGAGTAAAAGAGAATAAGAAAACTTTAGAGGAAACCCAATCATAAACTGGAAACAACGGATAAACCTCTACTCCTGTTCTTGAGACTGGGGGGGGAGTGTGAACTGGACAATAGCCCAGTCCACTTCTCAACATCTGACTAAACATCAGAATTTATTTTGGACAAATATCTTTTCAGTGCTCTTTTGTATTGTTAACCACTCTGGGCTTAATTAAAATATTAACTATATTAACCTTGCATTTATTGTCTTATTTTTCCATGAAATTTTACAGTTGATCCATGCAAATATTTAAAGCCTGAAATATCAGTATGGACAGGATTTAAAGAGAGCCATTTATTTTGAACCTTGTTAAAGCTGTGTTAAAATTTGTATATGACCAAATGACCAAGCATCAAATTTTTTTATTTTTAAATGTCTTGTTTAGATGAAGAACATTTTTCAGCTGCCCTTTGTAGATTTGTAATCATGCAAAATTATTTTACTTATAATAAAATTTATCATTGCAGGCTCTATTAAAGATGAATTAAGTCGGCGTTTGAGTATACCTGTCTCTGACCAGGAATTGAAAGGCTGGAGTTCAAGCAAAGTAGATGACAAGGTTACTTTTCATTCATATTTTTTTTTTTTTTTAACTTAAATTTTCTTTTAGTTTCAGAGTTTTACGTGAGACACTTATGTATTCTTTTCAATAAATGTATATTTTTCTCCTAATCACTATTTGCTTCTGAATGACATTTTGGCTGGTCAGTTTATAGAAATTCCAAATAAATTAATCATTAAATAAATAAAATTATAATTAAAGAATTATTACATATGTTAATGTGTTAGAAGAATTGATTTTACTCTGGAATTTACTTTATCCAATGATTATGTACTGTATATTCTGAAATTGAAGGTACTCTCCTCCCTAATAAGTTTTTACCCTGCACTCTATAGGTCAAGAGTAGCTTTAATTTTTTAAATTTATTTTTAAATGAAAATTGTGAGTGTCCTCGACACTAGGAAATACAGTGATTTTGGCATATTGCTTAATAATTACCAAGTTAGTTTCTTTTTGGGGGGGGGAGACTGTCAAGTATTCAAATCTAAAGTAATTATTAGTGTTAAAAATATTTCATAGTCTGTTTTAAAGCCTTTTTACAGCATTGTTTTATTGTTATATATATATATATATATATATATATATATATATATATATATATATATATATATATATATATATATATTTAAAAGTAATTATTTCTATCAATGTACAATAAAGCATTAAAAATAATCTAGAATGTTTTTTTTTTTTTTGTTTATAACTGTTGTACATTTACGATCTTCTGTAATATGTTCAGTGGTTTTTTTTGGGGGGGGGGTTAAGTAAAAATTTCTGATTGCTATGTTTTACTTTTATCTTGCAGAAGCCCTTAAAAGATTTACACTTGTCAACAGAAACAAAATTAAAGTTGCACAATACAAAAAGTAAATTTGGTCCACCTGTAGTCAAACCCAAATATTCAAATGCAGCTGCTGAAAGGTGAGTGTGTTGACTTTGACTTAAAATATATATTTTCTATGAAATAAGAGATTAGTTGTGGTGTTTATTATTTTATCCAAGATTAAAATACAATTCTTGAACTGTACAGTAATGTTTAATGTGAAATTAACATTTTGGTTAATAAATTCTCATCATCTTTACATTGTGGTGTTACGAAAGCCTTCAATGAAATCAAGTCATTTCAGGGTATTTTTGTCACTCTAACACTTTGATAGTTTTTATGAGTTTGATTAATCAACTATTTTTGTGTATGTACAGATTGTGTAATAGCTATCAGTTTGAAAAATGGAATCCACAAGCAAATTCCAATTGATTCTGCTTTGTTCACTTTATGCTATTGCCCCTAGAAAAAGGCATGAATCCATCTTTCTTGAGCTATGGGTTAAATAGCAGGGCAAACTGGTCTCTTCTGCCTTGGGTGGCGGCCAGTCTAAGAGAAGGAAATCTTTGAATTCATTCCTGAGGAAGGCTATTTGGAGACTTGTGGCAGGTTGTGCACAATTTCTCTGTCATTAGTCCTTCCTAGTTCCACACAAACCTTTCTCACTATAATTAAATCATCTATGTGGTTAGTCTAATGGTTCAGTTCCCAACTGATCTGTTGTGCGTTCATACACTGAAATTAAGTCTACTGTTACCAGTCTGTATTGTCCTTATTAAGGAGTGAAATAGAGCAGTTATATTTAAACCTCAATAAATACAGGATGTCCTTAAAGTCTAGACATGTAGGCAAAAATGCATATTTTCAAAAAATTAAATTTTCAACAACATTTTATTGAATGGCAATAACTTCACATTGCAGTCAATTTTAGTATATTCACTCTTTGCATGTTCAATCAAGTGTGTTGCATCTGTGATTCTCATTGAGTACACCTTCAGAAAAAGAAGTCAAGTTCAGTTCTTTTGACAAAACCATGCTTAATCTGTGGAGGTAAAATAAAATATAGTTAATGAGATTTCCTGTGTGTGCAGACTTTATGGACACCTTTTAGATCATTTTAATTTAGAATAGGCTGTAGATCAGGGAGTATGGGGGGGGGTGAAAGAAAATGAAAAAACTTTAGAGGGGACAAGAAACCTGATCCTAAATAGGAAACAAGAGATAAACCTCTACTCTTGTTCAAAAGACCTGGGAGGAGAGTGAACTGCACCCTGATATCAAAACTGTATCTTTGTGACTTTGCTTTTATTTTAGTAAACCTGTCAAGATTTACATGCACATTTTTTCCATTGTTTTTATCATTTTTATTTTGCTATGTGACATTTAAATTCTTTTGTTCTATAAGTGATTTGCAGTATTTGTAATGGATTCAGCACTTTTTTTTTCTTTTTTTTTTTTTTTTTTTTTCTGATTTTGAATTTGAAATCAAAATGAAAATGAATATTAAGAATCAATTTTTTTGTCACAATATGAAAACATGAAAGACTTTTTTTTTTTTTTTTTTTTTTTTTTTAGTTCCTCTTCCACCTCCCTAAAATGCAGTACCTCGGCTGATGCAAAACTTGCAGGAAATTCTAATTCACAAAAGGTAATTTTAATTTTACCAAACTGTAAATACATAGCTTGGATCACATTTGATCTAATTTCTTTTTCAGTGTATAGAAATGTTGTTAGACTTCAGTTATAAATGGAATTATGGCCATATCACATTGTAACACCAGTTCTCATCCAATCATTGAAGTTAGGTAACACTGAACCTCGTCAATAACTAAATGGCTGGCTACTGTTGAATACCAAGTGCTGTAAGCTTGGATATGCAGGTGGGGTAAGGGATAAAGGCCCAAAATTAGAAATCAGTGCCAACTTTGAATTCCAGTCAGGTTGATTATATTCACCTACATGCAAATACCCTTGGGGAAAGGTATGAATCCACCTCTTCTCCTCCAAGCTATGGGTTAAATCAGTGTTTCTCAACCTTTTTAAGCAACAGCACACCTAGGAGCAAATGAAAATATCATGGCACACTTAGCAAATTTTTTTTTAAAGGGTATACATTTAAATGTTATGAAATAAAACCATAAATTTTAAATTAAAGAATGTTGAATACAATTATACAAAAAAGGTTAATATTCATTTATTCAAATAAAGGAAAATTTTAAAAAAATATAAAAATACTTTTTAAAAACTGAATATTAAAACAAAAAAAATCAAAGTATAGTGAAAAGAGTTATTTAAAAAAAAGTTTAATACTTATTCATTTATTCAAATACTAATGCTATACCATTACTACTCCTGCCTCCCTACAAACACACACACATGTAAGCTGTGACAATATTTTGTGACACACTTAAGAGGCTCACACAGCACATTAGTGTGCCATGATATAGTGGTTGAGAATCACTGTGTTAAATAGATGTATCAGAAAATCATCATCTCCAAAGAGAATTCTTGCAATCTCAAACTTTTGGCTTTAAATAACATCAAAAGTGTTAAAAAAAATAAAGCCGTTAAAAAAATAAAGCACAAATCAATCAAAAAATGATACTTCATCTTGAAATAATAATCATAATACAACTGTAATTCCCCATGTATAATACGCATTTTTTTTCTAAAAAATAGTAAGCAAAATTAGGGGTGTGTATTATGCACAGCTACAAAAAAAATCTTTAAAAAAATTGCCATTTCATAGGTTGATTTCAGTTGCAAAATGATTACTACAAAAAACCTACAACAATTTGACACTAACATTCAGCGATTGTGACCCTCATAAGGATGTCAAATACAATCATATATACTTAACAATACTTATAAATGTAAAATAATTCTAATCATAAAACTAAATTAGAATAATATTATTCTATGCTTAAAACCATTTTTTTTTTTTTTTTTTTTTTTTACAATAAGAGTAAGAAACACTGGCCATAATGAAATTGGAGAAGTACGATTTATAGGGTTTTATTGCCAAACAAGGGGTACATATTATGCGTGAGTAGAAGCATTTTCTCACACTTTCAGCACAATTTTATGGATGAAGGTGAATACATGGGAATTATGGCAATCCTTTTGTATTTGAATATTAATTCAATACTATTTTATTTTATTAACTTTGTATTGTGAGGAGGAGTGCTGAAAAATTCTCAGTCCAATCTACTTATCAAAATCTGACCAAATTTTTTTTGTCAAGAACTTTTCAACACCTTTGTTTTACACACACACACACACACACACACTTGTGTGACTATATTAATAGTAATTATTCTTCCTTCCCCCAATTAAAAATGCTACATTGAAACTACAATCATTGTGTTGCTTTGTTTTTTCACTGAGTATAATATTCCATATTGATATTTTGTGCATGTTTGTTTCTTTTTTATAGGACAAGATGGAAATAGCTGATGAAGATGATGATGATCTGGTTGATGATTATGATGATGATGATATGATTCCTGACAGCATGATTGAAGATGATATATGGACACCTTCAAAGCCTAAATGTGGACCATTAAGTAAGGCAGAACACAAGACCTCTTTCTTTTCTGCTTTCTCTATCAGAATGTGAAGAATTTCATTTATTTTGATAGTCGTTGTCTTTTTGAGCTGCTTTTTTTTATCTTACAAGATAGCTAAGAAATTCTGTATCTACAACTGTCACTAACTTATACAATTGCCTAAGTAATGATTTAGATTTCAATTCAAGCACAATATTTGATATTTAAGCTAAAATGTCATCAAATATCTGATTTTTGTTTAGGGCAATATAGTATTTAAGAAAAAAAAAAAGATGCTTGTCAATTCTAAAGCAAATACTTGACCTTTTTATAACCTTTTATGTATATAAAAACACTGTTCAAAATTTCTGGTAGGGTTAAAACATTCTATGGAAATATAAGATTAAATACACTTTTTTGGCCAATGTTGACAAAAAACACCTTAAAGATGCTTTCTGGTACAAAATCATTCTGCATACACCTTCCTAATACTAACTTGTTGAATTTTGAGATTTGACCATTAGCTTGATACTATCCCTGGAGAACATAGGTAAATTCCTGAGTAACAGAACAAATTAGCAGAGGAGAGTAACCAGTACAAAGTTGCTCTTATGAACAACCATATTCAACTTACAATATATAGGCTGTGTAATTCTTCTTGGTGATTAGACATTGGAATATTGTACTGATAAACTAGTATTAAGAGTTCAACAGGTTAATATAGTCAAAACTGTAGCTCTGTTCCTAGTAGTGTATTATATAATAAAATATTTTCTAAAATAAGTTCTTTTTCAATATTACAATAAGCAATAATGTTCAAATGGAGATTTCAAGATAAAAACTAGGATTCCTTATGTTGCCCCCCCTTAAACTAACTTGGAGATGGTGAATGTTTTTAAATTCTTAAGTTGATATATACAGTTATCAACTATTGTCTTAATAATTTTCCTTTTTCTTATTACATTCCCTTAAAAATTATTTTCATTTTCTGTTTTATTTACCAGTGCCAGAAGACTTTACGGATGAATGTGAAGCTCAACAACAATTTACGCGTGGTTTTATTGATCGGTGAGTAGTGTAAATTCATTAAGTACTCTTAACTTTTTTTCTTAAGGAGACCTGTCTTTCCTCAGTCTTCAGGTAAATTTATATCTTAAGCATCAATTGTTTCCACATGCAACTGTGTCTTCTGTTACTTAAAATAAAAAAACATGAATTACATGCTTTCAATAAATTTTAGTTGCATTTCATATTAAACCAAATTGCCTTTTCGCATTTAATGATATTCTCTTGGTTTTTGGTCTATCATATTTGGAATTACTGTTTAGTAAATTAGAAAAAATAGATTTAAAAAATTAAGTTTACAGTGGTTAATAAAAAAAAAAAATCATTTACTACTTCTAGTACAAGATTTACAGTTTTGCTGTGAAGAAGCAACAAGAACAGATATTTTAGATATTTTAATAGTCTTTATCTACTAACTCCATAACAACCACTCGGGGGAATTTGTAGACATTTAAAAAAAAAAAAAAAAAATGTATAACACAAAAGGGATCTTACACACAAATGTATTAGTTATATATAGAAATAAATTCAAGCACAACTTTGATCTAAAGAATGCCATACTTATTAAAAGAGAAAGTAACTTACTTAGAAGGAAAATTCTTGAGAGTGCTGCTATCAAATCTTATCAAAATATAAATCTATGCCCTGGATTTTTTCCAAGATCTCCATTCCTGAAAGAATTACTACTTTTCCAAGCCAACATGCATGACTACAAAAATGTTGAAAAATTGAACAAAAAAAACTGTTGAGTTAAAATAAATAACACATAAATTAATCCCAAACTAAAATAATTTAAATACTAATTTGCATTTTTAAGAAAATTTTCAAAGACATATCTTTTGTTTATTAGACATTGATTGATGATGTCATGTCCACCATAGCTTGCCAAACTTTTCAGCTAACCTGATGAATATTTATGAACATTCCTAAATCTAAAAATTCTGAAAAACCAATAACATTTTTGCTCTTGTATATAAATACTTGTTACAAAGTAAAATCCTTGCACTTGCCTTGATAAAAAGCCCCTCAGAGGATGAAATGCATTAAGATAAATTTTCCTTTTGTCTTTATTCATATCGTCTTTTTTACAGATATACTGCATCTGAAATGTTTCCATAATATATATCTCTTTTATAGAGATGTACTGAGGAGGAAAAGAGACAAAAATCTTAAAATTTAAATGAATGGATTAATTGAGAGCATTAAGTGTTGCCTTCTAAAATTAATGTGAAGTAAGATTCTTTTGCGATTTTTCTTTTTTCTTTTCTACAGATTTGGAGAATGCCATCCAGCATTTTACATTGGTACCCTTGATGATGCTGTGAAGGATTCTTTGATGTTGAGAGCAAAAGAAGTAAGTTTTTTAAATTGTTTTTAATGTACTAATTCACTTGAAATTCCCATATTATAAAAAAAATGTTTCAAAATAGATTTGAAATTTACTTTTTCAATTTGTGTCTTTCTTTTTCAGAGAAAACCATTGGCTGTTTACTTACATGATGATAACAATATTGTTACCAATGTATTTTGTTCAAAAATGTTGTGCTCTGAGGAAATAGTCAACTACCTCACTGAAAACTTTTTTGTCTGGGCATGGGATATGACCAATGACAAAAACAAAGCTAGGTAAAATATATCTTTCCTTTTTAAACTTCTCAATTTTGTCTTTCTGTTAGGTTTCTTTCTCATTTTGAAAATAGCTCAACTCATTGAAAATAAAATGTGAATAGTATGGCTTAGGTCCTGTTTTGTGCTTCTTGAATAAAGACTGTTAAAAAGATTGAATTTTAGAAACATATGTATATGGTTTCTGTAAAATTTCTGAAATGTCAAATCCTATTCTATTAAGTCTAGTTTATAAAATTGAAATGTCTTTCATCAAGAAAATTTAACTCTGATAGTCAAACCATCGTAATAAAGTTTTACTTATTTCTTTCTATCAAACTTTGGCTGGTCTAAACAAATGTGATTTGTATTTTGATACTGTAAGTTTGTAATTTATATAATTTTATTATTTAAAGAGTGCAAACAGTTTGCTAAAGTAGTTACATATGTAACAAGTTATCTGATATTAAACATTAAATAATTGAAATTTTATTATCAAACAATTCCTTATTAAAAGTATATTTTTAATGCCTGAAGTGTTATAATCAGAAATATAAACAAGTTATTTAAAAAAAAAAATCTTAATTTTGATTATCGTGTCATTGCAGAAAATTCTAACATATTTAATAGCATTCTTAGACAGAAAACAAGTGATATAATCCAAATCATCCTGCTAACTAGAATTTATCTTGTATGTATATGTCAGAAATTGACTTGTAAATGTGCTTTATAGAGTATTTATTTGAAATAATCTTTATACAGGGTGCAATGGGTAAATTGTTGCCATTTTATATTTTTAGTTTTGCGCATTTGCATTGTTTGTTTTTGATTTTGTCAACTGCACAGTATAGCAGGGCCAGTTGGGCATGTCTGAGTAAAAGAGCACCATGACGCAATTCACTCCATTAGAAATTTTGAAACAGCATGCTTAGCATTCACACCGGAAGCTCCAAGATGAACATTTCAGAGTGTTTTGAGGGTCAATCTGAGGATAGTGCAGAGGATTCAAAAAAAACATTTGATATATCCAGTCAACATCATAGTGTTTGGAGTGATCACTGATGATGGCGATTTTATGCCTCCATTTGTCTTACCACAGGACCTCAGATTCAACATGGAGGCCTACATCAAGATCCCTGAGGAGGTAGTGCTGCCCTAGGTTAAGTGGGTGGCTGCTGTAAGACCCTATGTCTGGCAACAGGATTCTGCACCATGCCATACAAGCAGGAGAACCCAGTCATAGCTGTCAGAAAATTTCTGCTACCACATCACCCCTTACATCTGGCCACGTAACTCCCCAGACTGAAACACCCTTGATTATTATGTGTGGGGCACAGTTGTGTTGAGAGATCAACAAACTCCTTGTAACACCAAAGATGAACTGAAGGCAAGGATTATGGCAGCATTTGCCAATTTAAACAAGAGACAATCCAGAAAAGTTGCAGGAGATTCTGAAGTTGTCTGGAGGCCATGGTTGAAACCAATGGCAATTTTTATTGAATAAATTTATTCTTTAGTATTTCAAAATATTTTTGTGTAATCTTGGTAAATACATCTATTAAAATGAGAGGTCAGTTTTATTTTTATTTTTGCATAATTTAGACGATAGTTTATCCCTCGCATCCTGTATAAGCTGTTAGTTCATTAAATTTAATCTGGTACTTCAGGAAGGTTTTCTGTCTGTTGCCTTTATTTAAGCAGAAAGAAAATGTTTAAAAAAAAACTTACTGAGATGATCATAATAATAATAAAGATCCTATAATGGTTTTAAAATTGTGTAATTCTACATTCAGTTTAAAATTAGAATTTTGTTTTGATTTGTTTTTGTCTATGAATTTAGCAATTCTAGTTTTACTTAGTATATAATGAAATCTTTCACTCTGCTTTCATTATTATTGATTCCATAAATATTTGTTTTTTGTACTTTAATATGTTGAAGATACTGAAATTTAGATTAGGTTTAAATCCATTTATTTTGTTTATATTTATAAATCTATGTTAAAAAACAAAAGTCTAAATCACTTCATAAGTGGTAGGATTTTTTTTTTTTTAGTTGGAAATTACTTATTTACATTCTATACTCTTTGTGCATGTTGAAAAAAAATCTTTCCTGCTGTTTCAGATTGTTGACAATGGCAACTCGGCATTTTGGTATGATTGCTTCTTCACAGATCAAGAGTTATATACCCAATAAATTACCTTTATTATTGATTATAAGCCGGGCCAGATCCACCAATGAAGTTTCTACTGTGATACAAGGTGAGTGCACTTCAGGTTTTATATCCATTGGGGGGTGCTGAAAAGTTTGATCATGTTTTGGAAAGTAAGTCAAGCCAAGAACTTCTTAGAACTTATTCGTATAAGTAAATATAATTTAGTATTAAAAATTTCAGCACATTTTGTATTGATGGTAAGTTATATAAAATGAGTTCCTAGTACCCTAAAAATGATGTACCATTGAGGAAAAGCAGTTTATATTTATTCCTTCTGTACCAATATTATGTGGAAATAAATATTACATTATTAAAAACAAGAAATATTAACAATTTGTAATTAATAATGCCAAGACTAGTATTGAAATATTTTTTCTTAGAGTACTTATAAGAAATTCACCATAATATTGTTTTAATTTCTTGTTTTGTTAGTTATCACTACAAATTACTTTGATATTCACTCTTTCTTCACTGCTACATCAGTCCTTGTACTATTGTGTAGTTTTGTCACTTAATATTATTTAACTACAAATGTGTATTGATTGTGTTCCTTCACCCATTGCAAGTATCATGTCTGCTAAAATGGTGGAATAATATAATCTCTGAGAAACAGATCAATGGAAAACTGATGGCTTAAATAGGGGTGACATAAATCCTTCCCTTTTAAGAAATGTCAGAAGACGCTAATAAAACTAGGTAAGAATTTCCTGAGTTTTTGGCTAGCCTAAAAGAAACTGACATTTTTTTTCCTCTTATCATATAGGCATGCAAGTGTTGAAATTGGACTTGTCCTGCTAAAAATTACTATCCATTGGCTGTCTTAACATTTGTCATAGATTAATATCTGTAATGAATGAAATAATGGAGAAGACCATACTGATCACATCACCATTCTAGGGCTAGTATTGATCGGTTGTTTTAACATCTGTCATCTTTTGAGCACTCACACAAATTTAAAACTTTTTTCTTGCTACTATTAAAAGTACTCCTATTTATTTTCTACTTGAAGTTGTGTAATTCTCTTGAATTACTATTTGTTGGGTTAACTATCTTAGTTCATTTATCAAAATTGTAATTTTTTTTTTTTTTTTAAGCAACATTTTGCCATTATCCTTGTCTGTAACTGTCAAAAATCTTGATAGTTTTCAATCCATCATCAAGTGATTCCCTGAAATTCAGAGGCTACATTTTGAGAAATTTAAGCTTTGTCAGTTTTTGCAATAATAATCTAATATGCTGTGTGAATCCATAAATGTCTTAGATTCATTTTTTTTTTCTTTGCAAAGCAATGTTATTTACATTAGAACAATGAGTGAATTTGTTTTTTTTTAAGTATAAAACTAGTTATTAGTTGTATTTTATTCTTTGGCACACTCGTTTGTAAGCTGAATAAATTTTGTAGTGCAAGCAGATTTTGCTTGGCTCAAATTTTGAATGTTTTCTATAATCATTGACTAAAATTTAAATTGGACCAAAAGAAATATATCTGACATCCAATATTAAATAATCTTTTGTTAGTTATAATTAAGTATATTCTTTTAAAGAGCAGAATCTTGTCATGTGACCTGTGATACTTAAAGCAAAAACAATTATGTATTGATTTCTATAATTCAAAAGTTTAAAAAAAAATCTTTATTTTATTTTTAGGTTGTATAAATTTGGACGAACTCATGTCTAGTTTAATAACTGCTTTTGAATTATTCCAAGACCAACAAAGGCAAGATGTTATGGAGGAGGTAAGACTTCCCTCCCCTCTTTTATGCAAATATATTTCTTAATTTACTTTTATCAATGTATGTATATAAATGGAAATTAATAAATAGTTCTAAAATAACCAATAATTACATAAGTTCATATATATTCAGTAAATCAATGTTTAAGTAACTTCTCATATCTCTTGACCATCACCAAGGTCTTGTGTAAACACTACTCTTCAAGGGTCAGAAAGTTTGATAAATCTACTGAATGATCATCAATAATTGTAGACCCTAAATTTGAAATACACACCGTGTATTAGAGTTCATTATGTATGGGATATTATTTAAATATTATTTATGTTTCTCTTTTTTTATGTATATATAAATTTGTCACAAAAAATCTTGCAAAGTAAACAGTAAATTCATGAACAATTACCTAATTCAAAAAATAGGAATTTAAGCCACCATTATGTACATGTATACGTGTGGAGGTATGTGTAAAATAAAATTTAGAAAACTTGTATAAGTGTAGACCAGGTTATATGTATATAAATTATATGTAAAAATACTTATGAAAATCATCAGTAATCTCTAATAAACAAATAGTTTGAATATTATAATGGTTTGTATGTGTCTATTTTCTAAATTATGTGATCATTGGTGAATTTGCAAGAGTTTTTACAAAATTTATATTGTATAAAATATAATTAAAGCAAAAATATAATTATATAATGACAAAACTAAAAAAAATAACTGCTTCTAAATATTTAAATGTTCTGTCAGACTCTAGTGTGGTGTCTATTTGAAATTTGGAGTCTGGTTAGCATTTGTATTATGGTGTATAAAATGATATCTGATATGATTTATCATACCCTCTGATTTTCATGAGCAGTGTTATATAAAACTATGGAATCAGTCAAGAGATATGTCTCTTGAACATTTATTAATTTATTGAATATTGTAACTCTCCTTCCTTGAGTACTTTTTTTTTTTTTTTTTTTTTTTTTTTTTTTCAAAAATGTTGCTGGTCTTAAAATACATGAAATTCTAGTAATTTTTACATATTTTAATAGGTGTTGTTGAATTGCATTATTATTATTATTATTAAGCTTGTTCATAATTAGATATACATAAGTAGTTGTAGCTTCATATGTTGTTGATTGTTTTATTTCCTTACAAATAAGCATTAGGCTATAAAGTACACATAAATTTCTTTGTAAATATATAAATCTCTTCTATAAATCAATAACCAATTTTCTAGTAGGAAATAGTTGTAACCTTTATGGAATACTTTTTTTTTTACGGTTCTTTAACACGTAACATGTTGGAAATGACATTTCTTTTAGGTACCAATATTCAGAAAACTTAAAATGATTATTTGGTTACTTATTTTAGTGCATCATTTTACTTACAGCTATTGCTATGTGATACAAACAATGGTCAGTATATTACAAATTAGCTGTAAATAATCACCAGTGCTTTTTTATAACTATTTTATTGCCAGCTGAGGCTGTTTTTTACATTTACATAAGTAGTGAATTAATCATTCTAAGTAATGCAGCTATCAAAATAAGTGCTGCATAATTTCTTTCTGTGATTTTTTTTTTTTTTTTTTTTTTTTTTTTTAATTACAGAGCTTTCTCTTTTCATCATCCATGCATTTTTTCATTCATCATTTGATGTGTAAACCACAAAACTTTTCATGCTTGGCTAACTCAACAATCCTTTCAGTTTTCCTATTTCCTCTTTCTTTCTAATTACACAACATTTGTCCTTCAAATTCTTCTTACTTTTGTCTTAACAAAGGCCACAATTTCTCTTTTTATTGTTTAAGTATTTCTATACAAAGAAATAATACTTTAAGTGTGTTTATAGATATCTTGTCATTAATTACCACACATATAATTTTTTTTTTTTTTTTTGTACTATAGGAGGAACGAGAACGCCGGGAACTGATAAAACGTGAACAAGATGAAGCTTATGAAGCTTCTCTTGTAGCTGATAGGTTAAAGGTAAATATTTCTGTTTGTCCAATACTAGTTTTAAAAAAAATAATTGAAAATGATAAGATTTTTATAATGGAATATTTCCCTGGTATAAAAATACAGTGTTTAATTGAAGTCAGTGGTTAAAAATGGCTTTGAGCTAGTGAAGCCTGTAGGTCCTCCTTTGAACCTTGTAGACTGGCAATACAGAATCATAAAGAATTGTACCAAATATCAGAAACCACATCATTTGAAGCCTTTCAATAGCAACAACAGTTAAAATGGATATTACATGTAACTCAAAGAGAGAATAATGACACAAGTAGTGTGGGACGCCAACACTATTACAAAAAAAGTGGGGGAGTTAAGTTTTCCCCCCATCAATACTGGAAAGAGCAATAACAACTGGACTTGAGAAACCTATTTTCCTGAAAAATTGTTTAAAAAGAAAGATTTTATAAGTAGTACTGGCTGCTTGGTCAGTGAATGATGAATGTTTCCTTACCATTCACATTTTAAGTGAAAATATATTATAGGTTGATTGTCACTAATCTGGTATCACTTGAACCTACAGGATTACTGATGAATATGCTTAACCTCACAGCTAACCACTTTATCTTTCTTTTAAAATTTGGTATATGTTGATTACTAAAGGAAAAAGCTTTTTCAGAAGTTCTATCTTATCAGTTATAGACAACATATGATGTTTGCACGTCACACCATGAGAGTCACTTTCTGTATTGACTGGAAACACAACTAGAGCTAAACATCAGCAGATTATGATCCAGATACACAAAAGCTGAGTAAAAATGCCATACAAGTGTTTGAATGTGCACAAAAACAGTTCATGCAGCAGCTAGCACCATCAAACAGTAACGGTCACACTAGCTGTGATGACCTGATAAATCTGACATTGCTCTTGTGGAAATTAATACTGGATTACTGATTGGTGTTGGCAAACCTGTAAAACATTCTTAATTACATGTAAATCATTTTTGGTATATGGAATGTTTAACAAATTTCAGTATCACTAAACTTTTATTAGTATCAAATGACAGTTATTTTGTGACTTCCAAAACATTTTCCTTGTTATTGTTGCTTGGCTGTGTTTGATTTTTTTCTTTTTTTTCTTTTTATGTGTGCGTGTAGGAGGAGCGCTTACAGCAAGAAATAGAATTTGAAAAAATTGCCCAACAAAAAAGAGAAGAGGAAGAACTTGCCCGATTAGAATCTGAAAGGAATAAAGCAGTAAGTAACAAACAACTATTTGAAGAATCTGTTTGTATTACTTTTCTGTCCCCTTTTATTTATTTTTTCCCCCTTTATGCCAGCTTCATTCTTTGGATTGATTTTTTTTTTTTTTTAAGTTTTTGTAAATATTAGTTTATATCCAGCTAACTAATCTGATCAAATCTTCTCCAAATCAATTGCTGTTATCCAATTTTAGAAATTTTTTTAAAATTTCTATAAAAGAAGTATATCGGTAAAACAAAGAATGGTGGAAATTCTTTTTATATATATATATATATATATATATATATATATATATATATAATTTAAGAAAAATGCATTCTAGTTACAACTGTTAAATTGTGTAAGATATACCCCAGTAAAAGAAATAAAATAAAGTTAGATTTATTTATCTGCTTAAATATAAAAAAAAAATAAAGTTTTTCCATAAGAAAAAAAATCTTTCTCATTTGTTTTTACAGATGAAGCAAGACCAGTTTTCTCTATAAACAATATGGTTTGCTATTTTTACAGTACAAAGGGAAATATTACCCATATTAATGTTTGTTTAAAATGCTTGATTTTCCCAATGTCTAAAGATCTTTCTAGTTACAAATGCTTGATTAAACTTCATATGATCTATAAAACTGCATATCAACTTGAATACTTTATATTGCAAAAATTGGTTGTGGAATAAATTTTCATTTATAAATTTGTGTATGACCCTTCTACCACATGCTTTAACAACTTATGTACAATATTTTTCATCTTAGTACAATTACAAGCAAAAATCCACAATTGTGTGTGTGTGTGTATATGTATATGTATGTATGTATGTATGTGTGTGTGTGTATATATATATATATATATATATATATTAATGAATAGTAGTTGCTAGTTTAATTTCATTGTTATCATTTGTTAAAATGTTAACATTAACTTTTTTCTCTTGAAGGAATTTATTAAATGTATGTAGAAGTTTTTAATGAAAAGGCAAATTGTTTTTTTTTTTTTTTTTTTTTTTTTATGTATAGGTTACTAATTTATAATAATAAACACAATGCATGACTCGTATATATTTTAGACGTTTCTTTTTATTTGCAGCAAATGCGTGAAAATATAGCCAAGGAGCTTCCTGCTGAGCCAGCCGAGAACATAAAAGGCGTTGTCCAGATACGGCTACACTTGCCTTCTGGAAATATTGTCACCCGAAGATTTTATGGTCAAGAACCATTGCGGTATCTTTTTCAGTTTCTCACTTCTAAGGGCTACCCAACAGATGAATTTAAAGTTTTGTCAAGGTATCCACAGCAAGATGTAAGTATATATTAACTTTTTTTTTCTCCTCCCTCAAGAAGGAATTTAATACTGTTAATTATGTGAAGAAGTTTTCAATGAAAAAAGAAATGAATTCTAGAAACTTTTGCATCCATCTTATAAAATGTGATAAAATTTAAAGTTCAGCTTGGTAAACTTTCTTACTTACCCTGACCATTAATTTTAAAACAATAAATAGACAGTAACTTGTTTGATAAAATGTGATAAATATGATTTTTATTTATTTATTTTTTTTTCAATAGTTGTTTGGCTTTTGTTGTTGACCAGAAGGTTCATTCAGCTTATGACAAAATTAAAGCAGCTTCCTCTTTATCATGAAAGTTCATAATTCTCTTCCAGATACAACTGCACTTTTAACAAATGGTTGCTCTTGATTTTTTTCCCCAGTTTACCAACTCAAACATAGAGAAATACAGAAATAAATGGTACTGAATTTAAGATAAATTACATCTGTATCTATTTCTGAGATGAGATATTATGTACACTACTTACATTGTTTGGACTATTGTCCTCATCTTTGTTGCCATATTTTATTTATATATCAACCTGATCCCACAGAGGACGGTGAGTGATCTCCCCTTTTCTTCATGCCATATTTATCACGTTTTGGCCATTATACGTTACAGCCTTCTTCAGGTGGGTTAATGTTGAACTGAACCCTTTATTTTGCTTAGAGTAGACTGTTCTAGTTGTACGTGCCATGTCTAATGGATGTCACTTGTCAGTTAACTCAAGTTCTCCACTGCCTTAACCAGGTATTGAACTCACATGTGGGTCCTGTCACTGGATCTAACCAACACCTTTATCCACCGTGCCATGTGTGTATGAATTTCTGGGATTTACAAACTTAATGTCTTCAGCAACCATCTTTTACCAGTGCTCATATTGCAATTTTTGCTGTTATCAGTGTATGTTTTTTACCAGAGCTCATATTGCAATTTTCGTTGTTATTATTGCTTTATTCTGTCACTCCTTACTGGTTCCCATTTCTATACTTGGTCATCTCAGAAGGTTTTTGTGGCCTAGCATATGTGCTGACTCCTTAAGTTTATGAATTTTCCAATGATGTTCTTTGCCTATGATTTCAACCTAATTCCACAGAGGGTGGTGATCTCCCTTTTCTCTCCATATGTGGTCAGCCAGGCCTGATTTTTCCACTTCCCATCTTGTTTCAGCTTTTTGAGTGGGTGGCCTGTCTCCCCTTTATATTCCTTTCCACAGCTGCACGGGATGGCGTACACACAGTCTTTAGTCATGTTCTCCTCTGGGGAGGGGTTACTTGGGAGAGGTATCTGCGAAGTGTCGTCCAACTTTTGAAGGTTGTCCTGATGTTATATGGACCGCAGATCCTTTGTATTTTCTTCGATAACCCCCTCATGTAAGGCAGGCAGACTGTTTTCTGAGTGTTGTTGTCCTCCACTTGTATCTGCCTATGCCGGTTTATTGGGGCTGCTGCCATATACCCAGGGTAGTTACTATGTTGTATGGTACTGCTTATACTAACCAATTCTTTATCTAATGTCTCTGGGTTGCCACTTTGGCTCCGCGTTGTAAGCAGTATTGTACACTGTATAGATGGTGGGATTTGAAATTGAGGTACTTCCTCCATTATGAACTGTATTGAAGGTCTTACTGAGTTCACATGGTCCACTAGAACCTGAACATCTTCCTGGTATGGCCAGAGTATGAAGATATCATCTATGTACCTTAACCATAGAGTTGGCCTTAGAGATATAGATTCTATTGCCATTTCCTCAAAGTATTCCATGTATATATTCACCATTGCTGGTGATAATGGTGAGCCCATTGCTAAGCCCTCATCCTGTCGATATACGTGTGATCCCATTCCGAAATGTATTGCTTGTGTACATAAAGGCAACATCTCCATCAGATTATCTATTGGAATACTGGTCCATTCTCTGTCTCTGACTACTGAGAGTGCCTCCTCTGTGGGTACTTTGGTGAACAAACTCATCATGTCCAAGCTCACCATCTGGTTGGATAGGATGGGGAAGGCTGGATCATATAACAGCCGAAATGTGATAAATATGGCAACAAAGATGAAGACAATAGTCTGAATAATGTAAATAGTGTACATAATTTACATCTGTTGAATATGACAGTGAAAAACTTTCGAGTCATGCTGTAACAATATTTGTCTGTTACAAAATAAATGTGTGGATTAGCATTATCTAGATGAATATTATTTCTTATTAACCAATTCCAGATGCTTTTTGTGAATTGCTGCCTTCAGTTAGTATAATTAGTAGTAGTACTTGTTAAGATCAATCACATGGTTTTCTGGAAGAAATTCATAACAAAAGGCAATCTCACCACAGATGGAGAAAACTAGAGTCAACAGAAAGATTACTGAGAATTCTTTGGACAGCAAGTAAAGCAACACATCAAAGTGGCTAACATTACAAAGTTTGTTAAAATGATTTTTAACACTTGGATATTTTGAGTATGTTGACTGTTTTGTATTATATAACATTCATTATTCTCAAAACTTTGATTGCTATCATCCTGAGCTGGTCTCCCCTACTGTAGAGCATCATTCAATGAAAAAAAAAATCTCCAGCACAAAATTTATGAACCACTTTTGACACATTTGATTATGCACAGTACCTTCTCCATAAACTGTACAAAATATTTTGTTTGAATTACATTTTTACCTTTGTTAAATTGCATCATATACCAAAAAATATTTTTGTTGTTTTTCTTTTTTTTTTTTTAAACCACACTGGTATGATACAATACAATAATACAGTCAATATTTTACTTTTAATTAACAACAAACACAGAATGAACATATTTTGGCCAATACAATATTCATATCGTTGTTTGAACTTTATTGGTATAATATTATTGCCTACCATTGCCTGTAAGTAACAAGTCTTATGAAATCTTAATTTCTGTAATCATTAGATATTAATATTTTTTTTTTTTTTTTTTTTTTTTCTAGGTTACTCTGTTGGATGAGAAGAAATCATTTGAGCATCATAAGCTCTTTCCTCAAGTGACATTATTTGTAGCTGAGCGATAGTAGGCAGAGCATCCAGATGTATAAAGATAACAACTTTTTCAAGGAATGATGAAAAGATTAAATGAAAATAAAAGGCGACAAGAGATTGATGTCAATTCTACTGATTTTACTTTCTTGTTTGAACTTTAAAAAAAAAAGAAAGAAAAAAAAATTCTTGTTTCACTACAGATACATAGCAACTGTATATATATATATATATATATATATATATATATATATAAAGTCCAAGTAAAATTATAAGAGATCTGGTTGAAAGGACTAAAAAAGAAAATAGGAACAATTTTGAAAAGTTGGGTGGGGGAGGGGGTCATCTTTTTTGAGGACCTAAATAAAGACAGATATAAAGTGTAAAAAAAAAAAAAAAAAAAAATCTTTCAAAGAAAGAACATTTCTAGATTATTACAAAATGTATGCAATTCACCAGTTACAAAAACTGGGTGGTTTATGTGTGGGTGTGTTTAATATCTACATGCTGGCATATATTGACTTGTATGCTTTGGCCTGTGTACCTTTATGAACGGTGCACCCGAGTCAGATGAGAGCATTTATGATGTATGCATGTTGAATGAATGGCCTGAGCCTGTCTGATGAGTTTGAAAAGCATAACAGTGTGTCTGCATGCACCTGTGTGAATGAAATTCCCTCCCCGATATATATATATATATATATATATATATATATATATATATATATATATATATATACACACACACACACACATTCTTGAATGCAAAAAAAAAAAACAAACAAACAATGTATGGGGCAGGCATGATGATAGCGTTTTCTCTTGGCACCAACAATAATTTCCAAAAATTGCAATTATACAACTTTGTACCATTTATACATGCATGCAATGATTCTACTGTGCATGAATATGAAGTGTGTGTGTGTGTATATATATATATATATATATATATATATATATGAGAGAGAGAGATTATATAAACTTAATTCATATGGTACTATTAGATTTTTGTACACATACTGAGAAATTCTATTTGTAAGATATTTTAAAATCTGCAACGTATTGTAAGGAAATCAACTGACACAATCTAGCAATATTTTGCTCATGGTTAACAAAGGTCGGCTAGGTTAAAAATCTATATAAGTAATGTTCAGCAGCCATAAATAGAGATATTTGTTCTCTTTTTAAGAGGTGCTTGATATATAATTAATTATATATGCAATCATGGTTGTGGATCTTTACTTTCAATAGCTATTTCTTCATGGGTGTATTACATATTGGTTTAAATTCATTATTTCTATTACTAAACATCTTTTACTAATGTAGTGCATGTCTATATTGTGGGGGGGTGTTATATTTTTTATATAGCACACCTTAAATATACATATTATTTTTCCTCCCTCTTTGCTTTTGAAAGTTTGTTGTATGCATACATCTTATGAAATAGATTTATAAAGGTTACTTTAGATGAGACCCTATTTTCAAGAAAAAAAATATTGACAAAGTATTATAAGTAATGTATTTCTAAAGGTTAACAACTAAGTGGTAATATATGGGCCCAAATGACCTTATTATAAAGCTAATTAGCCTATGAAAAGTTACATTCTCATCTACGTATACACCTGTGTAGATCTGGAAATACACTTAGTATATGATTATAGACATACTTTTTAAATGCATTCTTGAAGGTATGTACACATGCTCATATGAGACTAACATTTTAATATATACTTTTTCTTCAAACAACCCTTGTATTTTGCTATATATTTACAATGGTGTTATGCTTTCTTATATACACACACACACATATATATATATATACACACATACATGCGCGCACACACACACACACACACACAAATCTTATATGCATTATTATTTCATCCATATACTGTTTTTCTTTTTCAGAATTTGAATACACATACATACACTAGTAGTACATTTATTTATATCTCAAATGTGTGTTTGTGTATGGAAAATTTT